GTTCGGGGTCCTCCGTTAGCAGGAGGTGCGCTCCGAGGATGATACCGACCGCCTCAGCTTCGTAGACCGTGTGTTCCGACAGGGGTCCGAGATGGTATCTCAGAACCCGGCGACATTCGTGGACTCCATCTGTTCGCACCAGAACAGCAGCAGCGCCCGCCTGATCCTTGTAGCCCGACCCATCGGTGTAAACCCGAATGACTGCATCCATGTTGGCGTCCTCCTTGTGTGACTCCTCGCGCGTATCGGCGATATGTGTTGTGAACGCGGGTTCCGCATATGCGGGGTCGTAGCGCATTGGCTCGATGTACTCGGTGTACTTTGGCGCGGTTTCGGGGAACAGGTGGAACAGATATTGCAGTGGGCTTCGGTGCTTCGGGGGAAGGGTAGAGGCGCTGCGAGCGGCCACCTCGTGTAGTGGGTGGTTAATGGGCACCGAGGCCACTCGAGTAAGGGCGCGATAGCAGAGTTTGGCGACGAGCACAGTGCTTCAGTGCTTCCCCGCCGTCGTCGTACTCACAGTCCAGGGAAACATTGCTCCCCTGATATGCGACTATCTCCAGCCGGAGTACGAGCTCATGCCCGACATGCGGGATCTGACCATCAGCAATGTCACCACACGCGACGATCTCACCGCGTGCTACTGCTGGACACGGAAAGGGCTTAAGATTACGTTCATCGCTTGCCCAGGTCTAGTGGAAACTCCCTGGGAAACCCTCAAGGTCGCGAGTGGATTCCCTATTCACGTGGACAATAGCAGAGTTGCGGAGACGCCTGAGTTGAACGCTCGTATTGAAGGACCATTGGGCGAAGAGCAGCCTTACGACGACGATTGGGCCTGGGACGGTAACAACTCGGGTTATGAGGTGGACGATGAGATGGAAGATGCATGAGTAGCTTGTGGAGTGGAAGGACTTGTACTATACACTAATCCGTCCCCTCTGTGCGTCCCGCGGCGTTGTAATTATACTGCATCATTGTATAATTGTGAATCGAGGTTATTGCGAAGGTTATTTACTTTTGTGGGCTTCAGTTGCTCGAGCGATCAAAAACTGCCTGTCCTGAGTCTCTGGCACGCCTCTTATCTCGGTCCCCACATCCTATTCTCAACGATACTAGCATGATTAGATGAAAAAATGACCATCTCCCGCTTGCCAGAGAGAGTTGTAGGTCCGTATGGGCTTTGTGTGGCCCACTCGGCCCGTCTGGTCCGGGCGGCTCAGGTAATAGCGTCGGCACGCGCGAACTCCAGTACTGATCCTGCACCGAGTAACCATTGTCTCCACGTTTGCTTCCTGCGCCCACTCTCGACGACCAAGAGGATGCCGCTAGCATCGTCTGGACCCCGCGCGTCACTGGGGCGCCAGGCACTTAGCCGCGCCCAACGCGTTAGGTCACATCGGTCACAGGGTGTTGATCGCGCCGTTTGAGCCCCGTTAGTGGCGTTCGAGTCTTAGCGCTTGTCCGCCACCACGACCTGCTCACCAAACAAATGACCGCAGACGATACACTTCTCACCATAAGAACATTGTCTATGCTTGCACTCCAGCGCGAAACGTGAGAGCGCGCGGCAACAAGGTCCCTCGGTTACTACTCCTCATTGTTCTCGACACCGTGAATGACACTGCTCCTTGTTTTGGATGAGCGCTGGTAGTCTAGCGGCTCGGATTCGTAGCGGCGCAACTTTGTAGCTGTCACTGCTGAGGGTCTCATGGATGAACCTCATACTGGCCCTCCATCCTCCATGCTTCTCGCGTTAACGGGCCCCGATCGTGCGGTATATGAATGCTGTGGTATTGATACACTGATAAGACAGATCGTTCTCAGGACAGACCCTGCAGTTTACGAAGGCTGACTCGAGTGCGAATTCGTCTGGACGGCTGTTTCCGTATCCTTTGTCCTCTTCGCCACGCGAAGCTCGCCTGCCTGGACATATAGCACTGGCAGTCGAGCTATGCCTTTGGCCTCCAACCACCACCGTACTTCTCACCCCACCACAAAGCAGCTGCTACTAGTCATGCCCGACGTCTCGCAACCCGAAGTTCGGCACCCACGGCCTACCGACCACCGCGACGCAGAACCTCTCGTGAAGATATACAAAGGCGGCCAAGTCGTCATAGCGGCCACTGTACGTCTTCCTTCCTGTCGTGTGCCACCGGACGACGCTGACACGGCATTATAGGAAGTGCCGTACTCCGCGATCTGCAGTGCGCGGGGGACGCTGTCTGTACTCGAGGACGCTCTCGCGCGCGGCGAGGGAAGCCTTTCAGGTTCTACACTTATAGATGAAGCTGTCGACGCGAACGAGGTGTCGCGCGCTTCTACGCCTACTAGTACGTCTGGAGAGACTATATATGTGGATACATCTGGTGCGTTCTCAATGATCCATCTTCTTCATGCCACTCGCTGAGATCGTTCCAGAGGTCGGCAGTCCACGTTCGGAGAATGCGTTCCTTTCACCAACGCTCTCGTCTATCTCATCCCTCTCACCCTCGCCCTCTCCTCCTGCAACACCTATTGTGCGCGCAACGAGGATCGAAGAGCCGGAGCGTGTCGCGGTTGCAACTCCCGCGGAGCGCACCTCGAACGATCGTACTCGCGACGACGGGTCGGGAGGTGGAAGACACGAGCGTCTTCGCCAGGATCCGTCTCCCCGACAGCCTTCCCGCGAGAGACAAGAGCGCGCCCGTGTCAGCGATGAGGCTTCTGCTGCCGAAAGTCCGGCTTCGGCTCAGCGGCGCGAGGAGCATCACCATCGCGACCGTGCAACTCAGGCACCGGAGCGCACGGGCACAGCGAAGGGACGCACAGACGAAGCTGCTTCGAGACCCACCCCCGCCTCTCAGAGCCGTGCCGATGACCGATCTTCGAACGCGAGATCGTCCGAGCAAACGTCGGCCAGGTCCCGCGCCGTTGAGGAAGAAGATCGGCAGAAGACGCGTGGCCGACACTCCAACGTCGCGGACAGGCGCGAGCCTGCGGTTGCGCGAGTCCGTATTGAGGATACGCGCGTTCGCGACTCAGCTCGCGAATCTTCCGGTCGTGACCATGGTCATCGTGAGCGCGAAGAGAGGTCCAGTGGTGAGGGACGATCGGAGGCGAAGGATCGTCGTTCGTCGAGCGGTGGGGAGCAGCTGCGCACTCAGCAGGTCAGTCCTCTCTAGTACGGAAGTCAGCTTGAACTCACGTCCGGGATACAGAAGCCTCGTCCAGCTCAGACCGCGCAAGCAAACGTCGAAGTCGCACGCAACACATGGGCAGACAAAACGACGCTCGAGAAATGCGCCATCGTTATACCTGCTTACCTCGTCGGGGTGCCGCTCGCACTCGGCGCGACCTATGGGGCGCTGCAGGCGACGGATTGGCTCGTTCATCAGGCGATGCATGTGGTGGACAATGCGGGTTTCTTTTGGGCGTATACTGTGGCTATGGCTCTGCATAAGATGGGATTCCGCGGGTGAGAGTGGGCTGTGGGGCGAAGGATTTTTGGGCGACTTGGTGTTGGACGAGTTTGATGATGTAGAGCAAGTGTCGTGGATCAGTGTAATAGAGGTCTTGAAGGCACCATACATCCGTAGTTTGAAAGATAGATGCAATCATTCTATAACGCTCGAGATGTACAAGCTATGCTTCGCCTTTACAAACGAGGTACACTGGACAATACGGCCGTATCCTTATACAACGAAGCCCTATAACACGATCAGCATAAGGTTCACCACACGACGAAGAACGACTACGTACGCCATTGCACAAAATATTCTGCCCATTCACCCACCTGGCCTCCTCACTCGCCAGGAACGACACAAGCGGCGCAATATCCTCCGGCTCGCCCAGCCTCTTCAACGGCGCCATGTTCTTGATCATCTCGATGACCTGCGGCGGCTTGCCGTCGTTGAATAGCGGCGTGTTGACCGGGCCTGGAGAGACGGTGTTGACGGTGATGCCCTTCGGACCGAGCTCCTTCGCCAGGACGCGCGAGAGCTGCTCGACGGCGCCTTTGGTGGCGGAGTAGACGAGGTAGGGCGCTGAGACGGTCGACATGCGCGTTACGGAGGTCGAGAAGAAGACGATGCGGCCACCTATCGGGTCGTTAGCGGGCAATTCGAAAGGACTGGGTGTTAATGAAGACGTACCGGACGTGAGATGCGGCGCGGCGAGCTTGGTGAGGAACAACGGCCCCTTCACATTCGCGTCCATATGCCTCTGATAAAAGTCCTCATCGAGCTGCTCGAGCGTCGCATTCCCCATAATGCCCGCGTTCAACACGAGAATATCAAGCTTCCCGAACGCCTTGAGCGTCCCGTCCAACAACGTCTGCGCGCCCGCGATGCTCGACACGTCGGCCTTGACGGCCACGGCCTTGCCGCGCCCTTCGGTCTCGATGGACTTGACGACTTCGTCTGCGGCGGAGGCGGAGGAGGCGTAGTTGATTATGACGGAGGCGCCCTTGGAGGCGAGATCCTTTGCGATGGCGGCACCGATGGAGCGGGAGGAGCCCGTGACGAGGGCGACTTTGTTCGCGAGGGTGAGAGGGGCGGCCATGGTTGACTGGGCGATAGGAGCAGGAGTAGATGCGGGTGGTGCGACAGGAGAAGAGGGTTGTTGGTGTTTGGGATGCGAGATCTTGTTGAAGGCGGACTTTATAGCTCGCATATAAGATCTGAGTCAAACGGCGATCTTGCTCTGTAAGACGGGACGCCGTCGGGCGTGCTCATATATAGCATCTCGAAGGTGGCTAGACGTGATGAGGATGAATATGGAATCAGCAATCGACGGGCGCAAGTACAGCGCGACAGTTGAGATCGTGGCGGTAAACAGGCAAATGACGTCGCGGCGGGCAACGAGCCGCCGGAAGTTTGCGCCACCCTCATGCATTGAAGGTGGATCAATAAACCTGTGCGTGGGTTGCTACGCTGCTACGGCGGCTTCGAAGACGGTCTCGAGGTAGCAGCGGACTGTTTGCCGTCCGTAGTGGATCAAGTGTGGGTGAGGTTGAGTGGATAGTCGAGGGAAGGGTGGGTTGAAGACGGGTAGCCCGCGAGCTGATACAGAATGGTTCAAAGAATGGCCTTATCTTTACTGCGCTAGCTTTGGAGCGTATTCGTACGGGTCCCGTGTGAGAAAAGTTAGGGGGTCTGGGTATGTAGGAGCTTTTTCTATCCGAGCACATCGACAACCTGCTCTTGGGCGAGTATAGTACTTAGTTTCGCGGTCCTTCGATCCCACTCGTACCAGGCGACTCTCATGGGCCATATTCAGATGTTTCGTATTTCCCGCACCAATGCACATGGGCCTTCGATATGCACGACGGTCACAAAGGCGTACGCGTACACATGGCAGTTCCAACGATGAACAACTCAACAAGGCAGTGGGCGGCTGTAGGTCCAAGATTAGATCCAACCTCGGGCCCCGCGGGCACGCACGGCCACGCTACTGCGCATGACGAAGAGCTCAGAACCCAACCGATGCATGCAGATGAGGATATAGGTGGTATGCTAGCGTATTATAGTAGAGACAGTGAGAGCCAAGAGTGCCGTGAGGTCCATGCGGGGCGTAATGGAACAAGGTCTGTGAGCGAAAGCGGTCATAATCTTTTGTGTAAAAAATGGGTGGGGCAAAAGAAAGAAAAGAAGCGGGCGAGAGCTCCGAGCCATATACAGTAGCCCAATCTAAAACCCGCAAATGAAAACAAGCTATGTCCTGTGCAGAAACCGTTGTCCGTCGTCTGAGCCGAAAAGATGATGATGGGGATAGTGGGGTGAGTGATAGGTAATGGGTGAAGGGCGTTTAACGGAGCGTGTTGCGGAGGAGAGCAAAGCCGGACAGGACCATAACTAGAATCGTCGCGAGCACGCTAACGAACGCCGGGCTCGTGCGCAACTGCTCTGCAGGCGAGACGTTGCAACCGCTACATGACCACCCTACACGCCATCATCTGTCAGTCCACGTGAGAAAAAGGAAGAAGAAACAGGGCTGACCTGATGCAAGCGGTGTGTACGGCTGCGGCGAGTAGAGCGCAAAGCGCAGATTGCTGTTCGGGCTCAGCAGACCCGGACTCCGCGCGGCGCCCATCCCCCTCTCGTCGAATATCTCGAGCGTGTACGTGCTCTGCGGCAACGGGCTCTGCGGATTCGCCTGTGCGAAACTGTAGACGTCCCACACGACGCTCGTGTCCGACCCGGCGATGACGCCGTTCGTCGGCCCGACGGGGAAGGTCACGCCGTTCTCGCATACGGCGGAGACGGTGAGCGAGGAGGGCGTGGAGAGGACGTTGGTCATGGACCATGCGAACGTGATGGGCGCGCCCTCTGCGATCTTGAAGAATGCGACGGATGTTTGCGGTGGGGAGGTCACGGTTATTGAGCCTGCGGGTGCGGTCTGGGGGATGGATAGCGAGGACGAGTTGCCGGATGATGAGCCGGTCCCAGAGGCGACGGAGCCGGCGTTACTGCCAGAGGCCGCTGAGCCTGTCGCTGAGCCCGTGTTGGAGCCCGTGACTGAGTTTGTGTTGGTCGCGGTGCCCGTGGCCGAGCCTGTATTGGATGCGGCGGACGACATGGCTGGGTGGAGACGACGACGACGGCTGAGGGAAGAAGACGGCGACGAAGGGAAGGCTCAAGGCAGCGCGGGAGGCAACCGTGGGATATAGAACTTTCTGAAACCCCGGCCTGGCTTATCCGCCGTTTCGCTAACTTATCGACACGGTAACTCCCAAAATGGCTGCTTTCGCTTTCTATGTACGACCACCATGAGCTATGTGACGGTGCCATGCTGCATGTCATTCGACTACTATTTTTGAAGCCCGAGGGTCCCGACGCGAGCCACAGATTGTCATGGTATTCTCGATATCACCGGCTTTCTCTGCATCGCTTTCTCCAAGCGTCTATTTCTCTAGGGTTCACACCCCCGCTATCCCCGTCGAACGCGAACAGCTCAGCGGCGTCGATTCTCCGGCTGATTTGAGAGCTGGATGCGTATTGACTGATAAAGACCATGGCTATGGGTAATAGTGCAAATTGTACATGTGTTTCTGTTTGAAGACGCGCCGATCAAGCGCGTCAAGCTGCTCATGAAACTGACGATGAGACAACGATGAGATATCTAAACGTACAACATACAAACAGATACAGGCGATACATTTCAGAAGCTCTACTACGGGCGGGCACGTTGATATCATCCTTTGAATCACTTCCAAGCGTAGGTGAAGTTCTCGCTCGCCATCGGATACAAGGGCTCAGGATCGGCGCTGACGGACACCCAAAGGGCCCACATAAACCACGTCGGCACGAGCAAAATCAAATCAGCGAGGGACGCAGCGGCCCTGAAAAGGGGGGCGGCGATCGAGAGGAGGATGTACCAACAGAACAAGCTGAAAATGGTCTGCCAGATGGGGTACGGTGGCTACAGTAACGATGAGCTGCCTGAATAGCACGTCGGGGGGTTGGATATCTGACGACGTGCCTTGTCGGCGAAGTATCGGTCGAGTTTTTTCACGATAGCGGATGATTTCTTGGGTCGAGAAGAGGTGTTGGGCTGAGAAGACGTAGAGTCTTGCTCGCGGCGCGTAGGCTCGCGTTCATCGTCCGAGTGTCCGATATGGACGAAGTCAGACTCGCTGGTCGAGCTCTCAGCAGCGCCTTGGCACAATATCAGTACCAGTTCAGCTCTCACTCGATAGTACTCAAGATGGAGACGCACTGGTGGTTTTGATAATAATCGCATCCAAGTACTCGTGCCCACTGACGCTCGAGGGTACGTCCGAGCGCACATCCTCATCCGCGATCCCGTTCGCAGACGCAGTGGTAGACCCGCCGTCCGCGAGAGATCGCTCGAGTTGGATGAGAGTGTCGATGGAGCGTCGGATAGCTCGTAGCGTGTCCTGCGATTACACCCTGACGTTAGATCTTCGGATCGTACGGGCCACCAGTGTACTTACCTCGCGGTCCACCACGATCTGTTCACCTTCGTACACTTCGATCTGTGGCATGACTTAGGATCGCGATAGCAATTGGAAGATAGTGGAGGGGTCAGTAAGAGGTTGGTGCAAAAGGGTCTCGCTAGGCTCGGAGCATATATGTACGCGCACGTAGTCCTCGAGGCAGCTATCTAGAATAAAGGACATAGCGGCAATCGCCGAGGTTGCGTTTGCTTGCCTACTGTGGACATCCAAGCCGTATCCGTACACCTTCCGTATCCACACACCTTTCTACACCATACAAAGGTTGCGCAACTGTGTGTATCGTACCCGATACTGAATAGCGATCGGCATAACCATTAAAACTCGATGGCCAGAGTACAATGAGCATATGGGTTAGGGTTAGCACTTGCGCGCGCCGCGGCGGAGCGGCAGCGACTTCCGAGGCGACCGACGCGCTTCATCCTGCACGACGACCAGCAGGTCATGTATGCGCATCTCCTCGTCATAAGACCCGCCCGTATCTCATGCAATGGTTGAATCCTACCTGCGAGAGCCCTCTTGCCATTGGTACCCAGCCAGTGGTCGCAGTTAATGTCAACTTCTTCTCGATCAATCTTGTGAACGCTTTCGCATGCAGGTCATTCAAGGCCGACGGACTAACAGCCGTCTTATAATCCGGCGCTTCCCCGCATGACTTCGAAGCCTCTCCTCCACCTCGCTCTCAAGTCCTCACCATGTCAGATGTTACTACGGACGGGTCCAATGCCTCCAACGACACCATCCCCCAAAGCGCACCCGCCGGCTCGCTAACAGTGACCCAACCCCCGCAAACCTCCGTCGCCTTCTTCAAGATCGCCTCAAACGCGCCCATAACCTTCGCCTGGTCCTTCACCGACGTCCTCTCCACCCCCGCATCGCTCACCGTCTCGGCCGTATGCGACAACGGCATGACCTTCCCCGTGGGACCCATGACGGACGGCGCGATCCCGGGCACGGCGACGAGCGTGGTGTGGGACGCGTATAGCTTCGAACAGGCGCATCCGCAGAGCCCATTGCCGCAGAGCACGTATAGGCTGCAGATCTCTGATGAGAGGGGGATGGGGCAGGGGATTAAGCCTGGGTTGTTGACGCCGTACAATGCGCTGAGGTTTGCGCTTTATTCGCCGCAGCCTGCGACGGCGCTGTCTACCGCAAGTACGTTCTACTTACTGTCGAATCATGAGAGTGTGAAGCTGATCGTATTGTAGCGGCTGGAGGAGACTCTGCACCGGCGCCTTCTATGGCTGATCAGCTGCATACGAGCCCTGCGTTCGTCAGTGTGCTCGCGACGATTATGATCATGATGCTCTCGGGTTTCGCTCTCATACGCAACGGTCTGCACTAGCCGTACTCGTTACGTTGCTCACTTCATGATACCATCTCCTCCCGGGCTCTTGACGACGGACATCGCATGGCTTTCATACTGCGCCTCATATATGGCCTTTCCCACCTCTTCACCACACGTGCAGCTTGGGTCTGCCTTCAAGCGCCTAATGCTGAAATCTTGTTGCACTCTTTTCATTCGGTCTCTTCAGGCTCTATCCACTTCACTGCATGGACTTCATCACAATACGATTTTCCGTACGATACAGCATGTTGGCATAATGTTACGTTTTCCCCGGGTGCCCTGTCAGCTTGCCTTCGTCGACTTCGAAAAGAAGGGCGTAAGCTACCAGATGGCATGTACTTGAGCAAAGGCCGCCTATCTGGAATAGTGAGGCCAGATTGAGCGGAGATGAGATGGGACGCGTTGCGTCGCGTCGAGCGCGTTGATCCCTGACCACCATCTCCTCGCGCACGACGACCCTGACCGCAGAGTCGGATGTCCTCTTTTGCGGCCTTACGCGCCCAGCGCCAATCTAAAATGGCCAACTCCTACGCGTCTACACCTACATCATCCACGGCTGCTGCTCCCACCGCCAGCTCTCAAGAAACAGACGCGCCCCAGGAACCCCAGCCTGCATCTAGCGGTGCCGCCGCATCTATCGAGGAAGAGGATGCGCCACCTCGTACGGATACAGGGGAAATAGATAAAGGGGACTTGTACTCTTGCCTTCCGTCAACGCTCGAGTTGCGTTCGAACCGGACATCTGGACGAGGAGTATATGCTACCAAGGGACTCGCGCCTGGTGCGCACACTCGTATCATGCACTAGTCGACGGCACGCTCACGGCTACCTTGACGATATTTCAACATCCATCCTACGCTGTACTTTGCCCCATGACCTGGACGTCGTTCGTCTGTGACGGGGTTCGCAAATAGGCGAGATCGCGTTCGTAGCGCGCCCCCACATCCACGTCCTCTCGACGCGCAATCTCGCGAGTTACTGCTCTGCCTGCGCACTTCCCGGAGAGAGCCTGCGACGCTGTCCGACGTGCAAGGTCGCACACTACTGTGATGCCGTACGTCTCCTTATACGCTTCGGATGCCAGCTGCTGATACAGACTCTTCTCTGGACGTAGGACTGCCAGAATCGCGATTGGTCCCTGCACAAAAAAGAATGCCCCGCACTCGTCCGATGGGCTTCGGCCACGCCCAACGCGGACGTTGCTGTCCCAGCTGAACCTATACGAGCTCTTGGACGCTGGCTCTGGGCCAGGCAGAAGCACGCGTCTCCAACTGTCTGGGTATGTCTGTATCACGCTGTACAAAGCCCCAATCGAGACTTGATGCTGACATTGTTTATCCTCATAGTCACGCGAGATGGATGGGATGCAAAGCCATCGTGGTTCTCTGCCGGCTGAAGCAGCCGAGGGCCATACCCATCTCGCGCATGCCGTCGTGCGCTACCTCGGGCTGAATACCCCGCCCGAGCTTGCTGCCTATGGCATCAAGAACGCGGCCGACGTTGTGGACTTGATATCCCGCGTACGCATCTTCCACTGGTTCTCTTCAAAACCCATTACTGACATGACCATAGTTCACGACCAACGCGCTCACGCTGACTTCACCTGCATTGACGCCTCTGGGCGTAGTTGTGAGCCCGGCTGTAGCGTTACTCAATCACTCTTGCGCACCGAATGCGGTGGTTGTGTTCCCTCGCACGGCAGAACGAAAGGCTGAGCCGCTTATGCATGTTGTTGCCATTCAGCCCATTGCACCTGGAGAAGAGGTAGCGGAGGTCTCGCTCATCACCACGATTGCTACAACTGACTGTCCTCGATTTTCTTAGATCTTGACTGCGTACATCGACACTACCCTTCCCCGTGCCCAAAGGCAAGCCGCCCTACACGCCACGTACAACTTCAACTGCGCGTGCTCCGCGTGCACCCTCCCTCCTTCGTCGGATCCTCGCGCCTCGCGACCTTGTCCCCGCGCACCTGCATGCGCTGGGTCATGCGCGCTCCCCCTACCTCCCAATTCCGGCACGCAGCCAGCACAGACGACGAATGACGCAGAAGAGGTAGACACCCGGTGCAACAAATGCAGCACCCCACTCCCCGACGCGTCCGCCCTATCAGACCTCCTCCGCGTATCCCAAGACGGCCTCGACAAAGCCCACGCCCTCCAACTCTCCAACCCCACGCACGCCCTCCAACTCACCAACAACCTCCTCCCGCTCCTCCTCTCCTCATCCTGCCCGCCCGCCTCGCACCCCCGCCTCGCCCTCACGCGCCTCCGCCAAGGCCTCCTGCTCGACCGCCTCGCCTCGAGCCCCGACGACGCGAACGAGGCGCAGGCGAGGCTGGACGAGTGCGTGCGGGCCGCGACGGCGAGCGTGGATGGGCTGTGTGGGGTGCTTGGGCCTGGGCATCCCGTTCGGGCGCTTGCGTGGGCGGAGTATGGGAAGTTGTTGGCGGTGGACGAGCCCGCGCCGAGGGGCTTTGTCGATGGTGTGCCTGTGGAACCGAAGTCGCTCACGGAGGGGTCCGACGCAGAGGGCGAGAAGAGCGTGTTCCCGCCGTCTGGCGCGCCGAGGTTGCGGCTTGCTCGCGAGGTTCTTGTTCGCGCGCGAGATGAGCTTTTGTGCGCATTTGGAGTGCGGAATGAGGGGGGAGAGGTTGGGAGGGAGGTTAGAGAGACGCTAGTCAGCGTTGAGAGGGAGTTGGATGTTTGGATAAAGAGGGGCGCGCTTGCGCGGGGTGATCTCACGGGGAAGAGATGATAGGAGTGAAAACCAATACACTCCCGGCCAATGCAAAATATCTGCTGGATGGCGTTACCGAGGGGCGGCCAAACCCTCTGACGTGTCTGTGTATGTTCAGGGATGATGCCGATGCTCCTTGTCAGTGATATACTTTATAACCGTCACATACTGAAAAAGCTGAAGCAATCAGCACACGGAGGCGCAGAGGGCTTCCGTGTCAGAGGGTGGTAGCGGAACTGCTATCTGCGGATCATATTGTTTGCGTCGTCGATCGACGACGTTCGTTGTCGTACATACGTCTACAACAGCTATTTGGCAGTAACATAGTTACCCTTCCTGTGCAAGTGAAACGGTCAACGTCAAGCCACAATCAAGTGTTGACGCTTATGGGCGCCGTTTAATTGTTCCTAAAGTGCCCCCACGTGCAGGTTCATCAGCGCTCCGGCGATCGGAAGTCGGGCGGACGGGAGTCAACGTACTGATCTCTGATTTCGCTCTGATGTCCACGACGGTCGTCAAGCACGGCGAACAATGAATCGCATGTTGAAGATATCATCCAGCAGGCTGTATGCTGCGCTGCGCGGGCTGCGCTCTCAGCTACCGATGGAGCTCGCCCGTTGCTTTTCGTTTCTGCGTCCACGAACCGGCTTGAGGTGACTGGTATACGAGGATTCCTTCTGCGCCCGACGCTCTTCCGTGTTCATACGGTACACAGCTTTCTCCTTCTCATCTTGTCTTCTTGTTCAGCTGTTCTTCTTGGCATTGCCTCTACGCGTTTTATCTGGCTGGACCCCGCACACCCAGTTCTCTCCAGCGCCTCGCTTTTCGCATTGTGCGCGCAAATTCGGCGGCGTAACTGGGCTGCGTGTTTATTCAAAGGCTGTTCAATTGGTACGCCCTCATCATGCCTGTCTTTGGTTGGCAAAACTCTGAATGCAGAACGCCGACCTGTCAGATCCAGTGCTACGCCAGCCCGAGCTCTCCGCCCATACAGTTCGCATCACACATTGTTGACCTATATACCCCTGAGCGTCTGCCGCGCTATCCTCCTTTAGTATGTACGCGCTTCACGATTCGTGAATTCGCGCTTCCCTGCCAGGACTGACGCCAAGGTAGAAAACTTTGACGTCGACGTCCAATGTCACCTCTCGACGTGTCTTCTTTTCCCGACAACGTCCAACTTCCCATCGAAGAAGACAGGACGAACAACGCCCCTGCGCGCTCTCGCAGACGTCGCCTTTTCGGCAGTCTTCTGGTCGGGAGCAAGGATGTAGCGCAACTCTTGAGAGCTCCACGACGGCGGGCTTCCGAAGCTTCCGTACAGCTTGTTCCAACCGAGTCGGAACCGCAGACCGTTCTTGACCTGCGGTCATCAGAGCCCTCGCTGGCCGTGCATGCCCAGAGTGGACGTACACCTGGGGAGCGCCCTCCCATTCCGCTCGCCCTAACGACTTCCGCCGCAGAACGAGCCGTATCGCCCCGTGATAACCCCGTTTCTGAGTCGCCAGAGGAGTTGTTCCCGCCAACACCAGTCGCAGAGGATTTCCCAGAGAAGAACCACGTCAAGGAGAGTATCAAGGTGCGTATGCGTCCATCAGGCGCTCAACCTGATGACCCGGAAATTTCCATAGATGCTGACTCTTGTGTGTACTGTATAGGCGTTGCGTCTCTCGCGTATACACCGTGCACAAGATTGGGCGCGCAAGCCCGAGGACGACGCACTCCCGCCATGGGCAAGTCGCGGCGTCATCGAGTCCTTCGGCCTTCCAGACGATTATCGCGATGAACGTGAGCCGGATCGAACCCGCATGAGCTCAGGCACGGGGTCGTCTTCAACTTCGTCCTGGAGGCCTTCCGCGCCGTCTTCACCTTCAACGTCACGATCGAGTTACTGGTCAGCCGCGACGAGCTCCACTGCCGCTACCCCGACCTCGCCCTGGTCGGGAAAACCGCGCGGAAGTGGTCTATCTGCGAGTATCGCACCGACACGACCCTTCTCTGGTGTTTCATCGCATTCGAGCAAGTCTGCGCGATCGGCCAAGTCCGGCAAGAGGCCGGTGACGCCTCCGCATCTGTCGGGCGGCGCGATGATGAGGTTGCGCTCGCTGTCTGCATCGTCAGACAAGGGTAAAGACAAAGCACCATCTACGCCACCAGAAAGACTCGACTCGCGCCCTAGAACGCTGTCTGATGGTCCTCGTCCTGTCACTTCACCCACTAATCGGCCAGCTGCCGCTGCGTCTGCTCGGTCAAATGCAATTATTCGGTCCCGCACGCTCTCCAATCCCGAGGATAAGAGCCGCGCAGCAACCTCTATATCAAATACGCCCTCGCCTTCACGATCGGTTGCGACACCGAAGTCATCGACGTCACGAAGTTCAACAGCACATTCAAGTGCTTCTCGTCCGCTACCGAATGTGCCTAGCGCAGGGCCCTCCCAAACCATCAAGTCCGCTAAACAGCAGCCGCCACCTATTGGACCACGACAGGCCGGCAAACATAAACAGTCTGTGCCTGTTCGTCCCGAAATGGAAGTTCCTACGCCGGCGGCGTATGGGGCTTCTTCAATCGCGACATTCCCATCAACCCAGATATCTTCATCGTTACCGGCGCCTCCCAACGGGGCCAACACGTCCCCGCAGATCAAACCAGCCCCGCTGTCTCCCACCGATTCTTCTATACACGCGCCGATCAATCCATCTCTCATAAAGCCCGACCATCCCTCGCGGGACGTTCATATAACGTCCCCGACCTTGACCGCCACGGGTGACGGTGAGCCACAGCTCTATGCGCCCCCTACCGTGAGTAAGGCGCCTAATCAAACTGTTTCTGCAAGCGCAGTACCCTCGCCCGACGCCGCTGGCACATCCCCGCTTGCCACCTCCGTTGCGGATCCTCTCAGCTCGGTCTCGCCCAGCGGACCCGACTATAGCATGGCGCCCTGGTCACTAAAGCCGCGAACCACAAATACCGCAGGCGTCACCTCCCCGACACCGTCTTCATCCAGCCTTCCTCATCGTTCGTACGAATCTCTGCGCGCATACGGACGATCTTTCGGTCACAGCGCGCGCACGTCTATCGTCTCATCACCCAGTTCTCCGCAACGACCTCCCTCCCCTGTCAACATGTTCACGACAGTTCCCGAGGCTTCGCCTACAACGGATCTTCCGGTCCTTCCCTCGTCCTCTGGCTCACTCGCACACGGTCAACGATCTACCCCGTCATTCGTTTCATCAACGACATCTAAGCGTTCATCATCCCCTGTGAACATGTACTCGAACATGGATAGCTTATTCGGAGCGCCTCCCAAACCGCGCCCGCTCGTCAAGTTGGACAAAACGAAGAAGGATAAGGGGAAGCAGCCACAGCGTTCACCCGACCCACCGCGTTCACCCGAACCGCAGCGTGCACCAGAAGCGACCGTCGCGCATGCGACACGACCAAGCGCAGCGCGAGCCCCTCAACCAAGTGCCCCGCCTGCGCCCCAGCCGAGTGCATCGCGTGCGCCCCAGCCGAAACTTGCGCGCGCTCCGTCAGCATCTGCGCGCATTGCTAGATCGTCCGGCTCGTTGATGCGGCGGCCCAAAACGTCCGGCTCTGACCAGTCTGGACATCGTCCGCGTGCATCCACGAGCAGTACAATGCGCTCAACACGACCTTCCACGGCCAACAGCACCGGATCCGCCGCGAGCGATACAACGATTCCTATCGCATTTCTCAATGGCGACCCGATATACGCAGATGCACCGACCCGCCAGGTTAATCTCTCGCGCGCATCTGTCTGGGGACGCCCCGGTACGGCCGACTCGCACGTCGAGCCGCCGCCCTTGGTCGATGGCGTGGCCAGCCCTCTCGATAAACACGTCAATGTAGTCGTGCAATCGCGTGAAAAGGGGGTGTGGGAGGAGCGCGACGTGCAGGACGTGATCTACCAACTGCGCAAAATCAGGGCAAAATGAGCACTGACGGCAGTGCATGCCTGGGTCTTTGTCCAGTTCTTCGTTGTCGCCTCGCGGTCTCTCTCGCTTCTACGCTTCTTGGTTGTGCCGATTATGTTGTTATGGTCATGGGTCTCTTGGTCTTTTCTCCATTTGGAACTCTTCGTATCTGTCGGTTATACGCGCTTTCTTGTTGTCGATGTTGGATATCCTCCTACCTGTACTCCTTACTTTGAGTTTAGACCTGTGTTATCGCTCTCACCGTCGTGGCTGGCGCGATCATCATGAGACTGCAGCGCAACTGTACTATATGCATACATTTCGTCTTCTCGTCTTCCGTGGCATACACTCGGGACCACATTGCTTTGTCGAGTTACCGTAAATCTTGTCCTATCACCAATCAAGCATATCATCAGTCCGGACCAGTCCGGACCTCGCTGTGCTCCACTGCTAGGCACACCGATATTCCCTCGCATCGGTCTGCTGTTCGCCCCGTTACGGCCTTACAAACCTTAGTCTAGATCCTCAGATCTCGAGGAGCCGGTACACCTCGCCTTGCTCTGCGAGTAGGCGCTCGACGAGCTTCATGCCTTCGATCACCTTCTCTTCTTCGTATCGCCGCCCGACGACTTGCACGCCCACCGGCAGCCCCTGCATCGCGTCGGCATCGTAGCCAGCCCAGGCTCCAGCTTCAACAGCGTTACGTGCTCGGAATGCACCAGGAAGCACGCCGTCTCGAGTACGGTCCACATGAGTCACGGGCAGCACGCCCGCGGAGTAGTCGAGCTATGAACCATATTGGGTTAACTCGGGCGAAATGCCACATCGTCTGAGGAACCTACCACGTTGAAAAGAAAGGTATATCCGCAGCTTTTCCATTGCGCGTTGCCAGCGCCATGTGAGAACGCAGGAGACGCATTTGGTACGGTCAGAACGAAGTCAAACTTATTCTTCACCCAGTACTCGTGCCAGCGTTGCCTGTACGCTTCGCGTTTGCCTACAAGGGCATAGAACTCTTGCCCATTCTGTGGCCTGAAGTCCCTGACCAAGTCGGCGTACAACGGATCGCGCCGAATATAGCGGATATATAACGCATATAAGCTGCGGACCCAGCGAGGGAGACGAAGTGCTTTGACAGCTTCGAGCGCGCCCGGGTCGTTCCATTCACCCGACCGCATGTGTAATACGGCTGTCTCCACGGCGTTAGCCATGAGCTGTGAGCCTATGTGTAGTGCTTCGAATGGGCTGGGAGGATCACTTCCGGGACAGCGGAACAGTGAGTTCAATGGTGAGTAGGTTACGTGACAGAGTACGAACATTGCGATGACCTCGTGTCCATCCCGCTTGAGCACCGTAACCGCACTTTGAAGTGCTCGTGCACACGCAGGAGTGGGGGTAACCACACCTGTACTCCAAATGTCCGGTCAGCCCGCATTGCACAGCATCGTCCAATAGAGTAAGGCGGAAGCCTATAGCTGTTGAACTGAACTGACCATCATCGTATAAAACTCCGATCTTTAGAGACTGGGAAAGCTTGATGTCTCTCCAGGGGATGGGGACGCACTGTATGAAGCATCGGAACACACATCAGCTCTCCGAATAGATGATCAAGTTCTGAGCTGACCAAATACATACGGATTGGTCGTAAGTCTCCCATGGACGCATGCTGATGATCGCCTTCCAGAAGAACTCCAGGTCATGCAGCGTGCGTGTCATCGGGGAATACACAGGAGGCACTCCCTCCTGACCGACCTTCGCAAAGGAGTGGTGTTAGTGTAGCGTAGGTCCGAGTGAAAGAGTCTATGCAAAGCATACCATGGGCGTAGCATTACCCGCGCGTAGGAATCTTCCAGAAGTCGCCTTGACCGTATAGATGCCGCTGAAGTGCGCAGGAGCGCGTACGGAGCCTGCGACGTCCGTACCGATACCTAGTCGAGACCCGCCAAGTGCAAGCAAAGCTGCTTCGCCGCCCGTACTCCCACCCGGGGAGTATCCCGCCACATGAGGGTTTTCTGTGCGACCCCAAAGATCGTTGGCAGATTCGAAGGCGAGTAGTGTCATAGGGATGTTCGTCTTTACGAACGGGACTGCGCCCGCGTCCAGCAACAATTGGGTAAGCGCGGAGTTACGCCCGTACGGCTTGAATGCCTAGATGATCAGACAGTACGTGTGAAGTGTCAGTCAATCACTCAGAGGTTGACGACTTGAAAGACCGGGGCTTACCCACGCCGAATACCCTGCAGTACTATCATACCCTGTAACGACGGCGGTATCTTTCATGCTGATGGGCATGCCCGCGAGAGGACCTTGTAAGTTACAAGTCCCCGCCCAGCCCTCCGCAGACGGTATCATCACTTCCGTAAGGCAGTTCGTGCGTCCATGGACTTGCAGGGCCGCTTTACTGTATGCACGGAGTACGTCTTGTGGGTCAAGCTTCCCAGACTGAACTCCTGATACGACACTCGAAGAGGGTAGAGACAAGATATCCTTGTCTTGCGGCGATAGCGGTTCATGGTAGGCGGACGGCAGTGCTGCAATGCGATCTGCGCGCTCTTGTTGCTTCCGACGGCTAGGAGCGACGAGGGCGTTTAGCAGTGTCCGATACAAATCCGGCCATCAAGCGAACCAGCTTACCACGTCCTACGATGCGCGAGGTAGTCCAGCAAGCTGATCATCATGGCGGCAGTCCCAAGACAAGGACCGTGGTCGATAAGACTGCGCGAGGCATGCTTTTGTACGCGCCTCTATATCATATGCATGTAGTTCTGATTCCCTCTTCTGAGCAAGAAGCAAAGCGGCGGAACACCGCTGACTCTCAGGCAGTATGGTCTTACAGCGGTTTGCAAAATGACGTGAAACCGCGCTCAAAAGTTCTTCTCTTTGGCCTTATTTGTCCCGTCACTGATGGGTCACGATCTACACGTCGCCAGCTCGCCCTGGCCCTTCAAAGAGGTCATTGTACGGCTACAGCGACTTTGGTCGGCGTCTCCGCTCCCTGTAAGGTGCACAGGATAGACTAGAAGTCGGTGAAGGACAAGGTCGAGAGGGCATGGCATCTCGCGCACACACCCCACCCCGCCCCAAGTCGATGACGGCGCCGACAGCCAGGTCACTATCTTTCGGAGTTGTTGAGAGACTCTACTTAGGTTTTCAGGTCTCCCAAAGCCACCAGACAGCCATACACCCTCATAGATCCGATTGAAACAACCCTTACGGCTTGCGCGGTGCACGAATGGTTGCCCAGCTCATCGGATCGCCCCAACGTGGTGGTTGGGAAGACGCGTCGGCCACGTAGCCGCGTTACTGATGGTCACGAACAAACAAGCCCAAAGAGAGAAACTTTTGGACGCGATTTCACGTCATTTTGCAAACCGCTGTATCCAAAGTCCACCGTGAATAAGAGATACTACGGATGCATATAAGACCGGTGGGAGGCGAGGTGACCCCAGAAGCGCTGGCGCCCGCAGTGGAGGTTCGAGGTGAAAGTCGATCACATCATGTCGACCACATCACCCGGCGCCGGGTTAGGCGCCGTCGTGAAGCTCATTGTTCATATTTCGTCCGCCTCGTATCAGCGTTTCGACCAGTGTCCACGCTTCTTGTACCGTAACAGCTTTCACAAATATTCTCTACACGATGATGGACAGAAACCTTTGTGTAGTCGCGGTCCTGGCCCGGAAGCCTTCCAGATGAATGCCGACACAGCCGGTGCCCCTGTGGCACCAGTGTGAGCGCCTGACACAAGTCGCGTGGCGCTCAGGATACAAGCGCGCCTCCGTCGAAGATCTGTAACTTCAGTGCGAAGCTGAAGGTAATAATGTAAAAAGCCGGCGGCGCAAAGCATTCACATGACTGGACGGTTGGCGCCAGCGGCGGTAGATACAGAGTTTTGAGAGCAGTCTTCCATTGCAACCTTTCCAAAGCAATCATTTACAGCACACACAATCAGGTCCAGAGTCTATGCCGCCGTATCAGTAGACGCCGGCGTCTCATGCGCAAGATCAGCCTCGGCTGGGTGCTCCTTTTCCTCATGAAGATCCAACGGCTCGTCCGTAACGTCCGCCTCTTCATGGTGCTCATCCTCCAGCGACACATCCTCTTCCACATCCTGCGCGTCGAGCGGTTCGCCCATGTCCGCGTCCTCTGTAACATCTCCTTCCGCAGGCTCAGGTCCAGCCTCAGCCAACTCCGGCGAGCGCGCCAAAGACGGGTCCACAGATGAATCTGGGAACTCATTCGCAGAAGCATGGAATGGTTCTTCGGACTCAGGCTCGTGTGCTGCGAGCGGTACGCCCGCATCTTCGAGGTTCGTCGGCACGCCTGGCGCTGGGGCTTCGGGATGCGACTCGAGCAATTCGTCCCCTGCTTCCCCAGATTCCTCCGGAGAGACGTCTGGCACGTCCTGACGGGCGAGCTCTTCCGCCATATTGTAAGCTTCACTGAATACCATCGTGTCGGTGCGTGAGCGATTCTTTCGTGGGCTAGGGTCTGCAGCAGCAGGGAATTCTGGTTCCGAGAGCGGCGCGTGGGGTTCTACGGCGGCTGCGAGTAAGCGTGGTGGTTCGACATCCTCTGGCACTGTATCCTCGGGGTGTAGACGTGGGGGAATCACCAGGAACTCCGGCGGAACGAGGTCGAACCGCGAAGTCAAGGCGAGAAAGCGAGCATAGAGCGAAGACTCCGCTTCGGCTTGTTCGAATATTTCGCGGTGGTGGAAGAAGGCATGGGCAAATATGCGGCCGAGACGGCGCGCTAGCGACGAGAAGTGGCGATTTGAGGTTGGTGGGATCGAGAGGCGGGAGGGGAAAGCACGAGGGGAGTTGAGCAATGCAGTTGCACTGTCCACCGTGTGGAGGATGTAGTCGATAGCGCAACATTGCTATAGCGTACATGTTAGCCATGTGAAACACAGAATAGGCGCCCGAGCCGCGTCTGTACATGGTGAAGATGCATACCTCCATTGAGCCTTCGTTGCCGTGAGCAACACAGAGATACAGCCACTCGCCAGCCTTCATCTCGGGACAAGACTGACGAGTACACTCTTGCTGGAGCATTGTGATGAGAGGGTGTGAGAGGTCTTGTGCCAGGCGCCTGTACACACTGCCTTCAGACATGTCTACTCGGCGTTTCGAAGTATTCGGGCATACCGAAGTTGTTCATATATCCAGCATGCCTCATCTACAGTCACTTCCCTCCCCTCCTTCTCCTCCTCAGACCCGTCTCTCGACGCGTCTGGTATCGAAACAATGGCGTCAACGTCGTGAATGTCATGGCGAATGAGTAGCGAGATATATTCCTGCAATTGGAAGGCAGACTCAAGAGACGACAGAGGTGGTACAGCTTTTACAGGATAGAAAGAGGATATTCTGGAGCCCTTGAGCGGGCGAGTGAACGAGGCAGTCATGGTGGGCGCCTGCTGAACCCGACGTTGAGCGCGTCGTTCGAATGACTTGTTGACGATCATTGGACCCACTACTGGCAATTGCCGAAGGCCTCGGGCCGCACGCAAGCGCGCGCGGCCATCTTGCCTCCTCCCTCTATCTTGCCTCCGGCGAATTCTGCACAGGTTCGGCAGAATGTCTGACTTTATGGCTATCAAATAGTCAGCGTGGATGAGCTGTGCTCTGAGTACACGATCGAATGCTTAACCTCGCGCTGAACCCGTCGATTGATTCGGATGCGCACGTGGTCCTGCACACGCCGCGTACCCTGGTCCATGGTGCACTGCCTGCGGGCCTATTGTCATGTTTGGAATTACGGTGTCGGTGCCGTTTGCCTGCGTCACATTTACCTCGTTCATTTCCGGGCTTTTTGACAGGCGTCCATGCACTAAGGAGCACCAATCATAGTTTTCTTGACAGTCTACTTGCTGCGCCAAGACGCAGACGCAGGCTTCACCTCTCCACGTATTATTGGACTGATTTCCTGAATTACCCATGTCCAGATTCAATCGGCGCGTGCAATTCTTGGGTGTCCGATATAGGAGCAAGATCGGTACCAGGTGGGGGCCATCGGCCGCGTAAGACCTCCCTGTATGGACATCGGCGGTCGGCACAGGGTTGTGCTCATAATAATGAGACCCTCCTCTCAAATGACAGCTCTTCCATATGATCAAACGTGGTTATTGAAGGTGCGTACTCCCGTACGTACAAGTTAGACAGGAGCTTTTATATAACAACCGTCCTTGACTTTCCTTCACCCCCTCAGAGCCGCGCTTCTCCCCGTTCTTACTGACCACGACTACAGTGCTAGTCTCGACGAGTACCAGGGCATCACTCCTGGAGATCTCTGCGCGTCTCCCTCCAACCATGTTTGCATCACTCAACGCCATCGGTCATTTCGCGGCGCTCTTCGCAGTCTTTCTAAAGTGCGTCGCATTCCTTCATCCCCGATATCCGCACTGACATTTCTCCTAGCGTCACGCCCATACATGCCGGCGCAGTCCCTCCCGCTCTAGCAGTTCGCGGTCTCCAATTTCGCCAGCAAACCCACTTCGTCGTTCAAGGAGTCTTAGGCACCGGCGCGACCCCCTTACGCCGTGAGATCAACGACCTGGTGAAAGATGAAGTTCAGTTCTCGCTCTTCATTCAGGCCCTAGGTGCGTGTTTCGCCAACATGTATCATGCTCTACACCTAATCCTTGAACTTCAGCTGCTCTACAAGCTGAAGATCAACAGGACGAGCTGTCCTATTTCCAGCTCGCCGGCATTCACGGTCTCCCGTTCATACAATGGGCCGGCTCCGGACCCTCCGCTCAAAGCCTAAGCGACGGGTGGGGCGGCTATTGCGTTCACCGGAGCGTCTTGTTCCCAACGTGGCATCGGCCGTACGGCGTCGTCTTCGAACAGGTGCTTAACAGCAAAGCCGTCGAAATCGCAGACACCTACATCGTCGACAAGGAGAAGTTCCAAAGCGCAGCTGAGAGTCTGAGGAGTCCGTACTGGGACTGGGCGGCCAACATCATCCCGCCGCCGGAGGTTATCGAGTTAACGGAAGTCACCATCATCATGCCCAACGGATCAAAGCAGGCGGTCGAGAACCCTCTGTTCACGTATCAGTTCCATCCTATATCTCAGGGCTTCGACCAGACCCCCTACGAGAGATGGAACCGGACACTGCGCTATCCGACCAGCGACGGCCCGGACGCCAAGACCGACGTCGGGCGCATGAGGGCGTACGTCTTCCTCGTCCTCTGAGGCCTCCTATCACTGTACTCATCTCAACTGTTCATAGGCAACTTGCCTCCAGCCAGAGCAATGTCCGCACTAGCGCATACGCCATGCTCACGCGCGTCAAGAACTGGCATGACTTCAGCAACACCGGTCTGGGCGGCGACAGGAGCTCTGTGGCTAACAGCTTGGAGGCCATCCACGATGGCATCCACAATGATTGCGGCGGCGGCACGCCCGACGGCACGATTGGTGGCCATATGAGCGATCCGGCAATCGCTGCGTTTGACCCTATCTTCTGGCTACACCACACGAACGTTGATCGCATGCTTTCGCTTTGGTCCGCCGTCAACCCCGACGTTTGGGTCACCGCGGGTTCCAGTGCGCGTGGTACTTGGGCCATCGAGAAGAATGCGACCGTTGACGTTACGACTGGTGAGGAATCACATACTCTTTATGCGTATCGTCGCTCATTCATCCCACTAGACCTTGCGCCGTTCTGGGATAGCAACACTGGCTACTGGCAATCAACGATGGTAGAATCCACTGAAGCTTTGGGTTACTCCTACCCTGAGTTCGACGGTCTCAACATGAACGACACAGCATCCGTACGCAGCTCAATCGCGAAGCAGATCAAGTCTCTCTATGGTGGTGGCGCGTCCCTGAGCTCCAAGCGCGACATCGATGTTCGCGCAGCAGACTCTCTTGACTGGACGGCTCGAGTGCAGGTCGATAAGTACGCGCTTGGTGGAAAGACCTTCAACGTGCTCATATTCCTCGGCGACGTGCCATCTGATCCCAAGCAATGGTTCAGCGCCCCGTCGTTCGTTGGGAGAGTTACTGCATTCGCGTCACCCCTCATGTACACCGGTCAAGCCGAGCTGATTGAGGGCTTCGTCGATTTAAACGCCTTCATCAAGGAACACTCCGGCCTGAGTCTGTCTGACACTGACGCGGTCCAGGCGTACATAGACAAGAATTTGTCGTTCCGCGTGCAGACTGTAAGCTCAGCTTCCCTTCCGCGTGAGGTCCGTGTCTGACAATATCCTCAGTCTGACTCTCAATCCGTCGACCCCAGCACGCTGCCCTCACTCGAGGTCACCACAACCTCAACGCCGGTTACGGATGACGCCAGCGCTCTCTCGTCGAGGGCCGACTCGAAGCGCGAACTTAACATCCGCACCAGCAACGAGTACTTAGACTGGACGGTGCGCGTTGAAGTCGACAAGTTTGCGCTCGGCGGCAAGACGTTCAGCGTGCTCATCTTCCTCGGGGACGTACCGTCCAACCCCACTCAGTGGCGCAGCGCGACCTCGTTTGTGGGATCTGTTACGGCCTTTGCTACACCACTGGCCAACACCGGTCAACCCAGTCTGATCGAGGGCTTCGTTCATTTGAATGAGTACATTGCAAAGCACAGCGGCCTGCATTCGTACGATCCCGATGAGGTCAAACCGTACCTGAAGAGCAACCTAAAGTTCCGCATCCAGACCGTGAGTACAACAGGTATCCGCGACATGATACCGGCTAACGAAGGATGGCAGGCTACCTATCAATCGGTTAGCCCAGGAGATGTCCCTTCACTAGAAATCACCGTCGCGTCTTCCCCTGTCTTGGACAGTTTCGACGGTCTGCCAGAGTACGGCGATGCGCAGTACCAAATCGACCTTGCGTTGAAGGATGCCTCGTCGTGACTCTCGGCGCCTTTACCCCTACTTGCACTGCCTGCGACGCCGCCTTCACCCGTGCTCATGCTTCCTGTACTATCACCGTCATCAGCTGCCTGTTGCTCTTTTCTCCTATTCTTCTTCTGTGGACTATGGCTCGTGGAAAGGACATTCAGAAGTGCCGCTACACCTATCACCTTACACTGATACAACACATCCTCCATGTACACGCTTACACCGCCTAACGCACATTCATGATGCTATCCATCCCTTTGCTGCGGCAGTCTGAACCCCGGTATACCAGGCCTTCGCGAGAACTTGGTATCCTTCATCATCTACATTAGTCTCTTTAGCACTCCTCATCAAATCATGAGTTGATGGATCTTACTTGGATGCAACTCGTCTGCCATCTCAGAAGACGTGAGAGCATCGAGGGACACGTGTACAAGCTTTTGACCATCCGCAATGCGCCCGTTGACCAGATCCAGAACACCCGCGTTGTACGTCTTCACCAGAGGCTCGAGGGTGTCGTCGACGATCAGCGGTATATCAGAGACGAGGACGGTCGCTTGTGGAGTGTACGAGAAGATCTCGTCGATGAGGGAGTCCAGACGCGCCGGTGCGTTAGCTAGGTCTTCTTGATAGTTGATGTCGTTCGTCCCGGCGAGCAGGAGCACTACCTAAAAAGAAGTTCAAGCTACATGTCATGGCTATTGAGAGTATGCTTATACCTTTGGCACCATCTGCAAGGCCGAAACACCATTGGTGGCAATCTGTTCAATCGTGCAGCCGATGTAGCCATCGTTCCAGTTGTCCGCCTGCGGAGGCTACCTTAGCGGACCGAGCAGCGTCACGACACAACCAGGGTAGCTGACCATCGACCCGGCTTGGATAGAGCCAATATAGTCCACCGCATTGCCACTCGCCTCTATGAGTTCGAGCAGACCCTCGCGGTAGCCATTCCCGTCTGACGACTCCCATCCATACGTGATCGAATCACCTAACGGCAAGACTGTCACGTTCCATGCCGAGGCCCACCCAGCCATCATGGCAAGAGGGAGGAAGGCACGTTGGACAATCATACTGAACAGAGCTGCGCTGGGTGAAGGTGCCGAAGGAAACGACAGCTGTACCGGCTCATTATATGCTCGGAAGAGGAGAGGCGGGCCGTTGCTGTCAAGTGATGTAACAGTCCAGGAGGAGAAATGCCGAGGAGCATCCAAGAAGTACCCGAGAGACTACGCGAAGACGTGGAAGTGAAAGCAACACGGGTATCTAGCAGCTCTCGGAGGTGACGCTGGAGAGTTTGATCCTGGGGGCGGAGGCGTAGAAAGGCGAAGATTTCGGCTCACACGCGCGCGGGTAGGCGGGCTCGGCATTCAGTATAATTGATAGGTGATGCTTCGACACAATCATACTCTATATGAGAGCGGAGAACAGTGCCATTCGATTTTCGCGAGTGGACGCAGGCAGTACAAGTTCGTATGATGTCTACAAGATGGTGGTCAGAAGAAGACGAGCGATTCTTGCGTGCGCGCCACCTGAACTCGCGGTCGGACCGCCCGTGCTCGTGATCCGCGTGTAGGGCTAACCCTAACCTACATCAGTAGTTTCGAAAGTAAAGATGGGATCTGGCACTGGGAAGGATACAGTACTATACAGCTGAGATGTGGTACATTGGGGATATGTGGCGAACTGGTATGTGTACGATCGCAAGATTCATAGGAATCCTCGTAGGCGGTATAAGCTTCACAGATACACGATAGCAAGAAAACAGGCAACAAGATAGCAGTAACAGGTGGTGAGGATGAGATATATGATGTTCTAGATGGCTTGAAGCAAGATGGCTCGGATGCGCATATATAGCAGCAATAAATGTTGGAGACAGTGTTGAGATCGTCACGCCTTGCGGACGCGCATTGCATCGTGGATATGACTAGCGACAGCATGCCAGCCGGGTCGGGACCGCGCTTTCGCAAGGCAAAGCTCGCGCATGGCGACGTCAAAGGGGAATCGGGAAGGATTCGATGGCCGTTTGTGAACGTATGCGTAGTGGTACGCGTAGCTCGCGCGAACGCGCACGGCCTCCTCGTAGCTAAAGCACTCGAGATCGCAGTTCTTTGGATCCTATGAAACAAGGTGAGACGAGGCGGGCATCGACGGAAGCGTGAACGTACCGGGTAGCTATCGAGCTGAACAGATATGGCGCGTAGGATGTCTTGTCGTTTCTCAATTGAGAGGTTCGTGAAGGAGTGGTCCTTGCCACGTTTGCCGTTCTGCTGCGGCCGTGCCGCCTCCTTGGCTTGAGCGTGAGCTTCGAATGCTTTCCTGACGATGTCCTGTAGCTTCTCGAGTTCTTCGAGCATGGTCGAGTCCTTCTTCTCGCTGAACCGCTTGTTCGCACGCGCTAGCGCTTCGTTGTAAGCCTTGGTGAGGTCCGCGTCGGGTTTCGTGACTTTGTCAAGACCTTTGAAGCACCCTTCCGCGCGTGCCAACTGAAGATTTGACTCTTTCTAGTGCACTGTCAGGACGTCTTCTAACCAATGAGAACGCAGAAGCACAACGTACGTGGATGATATCATCAAGGCGAGTTAAAATAAAAGCGCCAAGCTTTTCCACGTCCCGTTTCAGGTAGGGATTGTTGTCGGATGTTTTGCGAGGGTTTCGAAGGCTGTTGAGGCGTATCTTCCAAGCTGGGTACTGCGATGTCCTATATCGCTTCATGTCGTCGCGGAGCACATCCGGACGAACAGTTAAGCCGCTCTTTGTGCCGTCAAGGACGTTACAGAACCTGGAAAACATCAGAGGCAACTCGGACGTGTTTAACAAGAACGTACATGCGACCAAGGCGTAGGGTTTCCGGATGATCATAACCCAAGACAAACGCCGCGTTGTCATGAGCACTGGGACCACCGTTCATCAGTCAAGAGCTGCCATCCGTGCTGCGCATGAGCATACCTTGAGTAGATACCGATGGGCGCCTCGGATATCGACTTCATCTGAGCATCCTGCAATCCACGTACAATGTCCTTGGGATCGGGACCAACACGTTCTAGGAACTCCGAGACCTTCTCATTCTCACGCAGGAAGTTCTTCTCCTCGAAGTCGGCCGGAGCGTCCGCGAGCTCAATGGGTGCGTTGCAAAAGGGTTGTACGATGGACGGGTCCCATATCACATCGACCTTGTCGCCGTCGTAGTCACCTAGGAATGTCATTGGATATTTTCTTGCATGATCGTGTGCAATGGACCCACCACCACCGAGAAAACTGGCTTGAGAGCGCTTTCCCTTGATCGAGAATACGATGACGTCGGAGTATTCGTCCAGCTCGGCACAGTACACAGCCTTAACCTATTGATGAATTAGCCAAGGTCGTGGAGGAATGAGCAACAAGCACTCGCCTTCTGGATATCTGTAGGTAGCTTGCAGGGACTACGGCTGATCTGTAGGCACCAAATTTCAGTCAAGGAGTACCTACATGAGAGTATGAGTCCAAACGTACCAGGACATCACATGATATCTTGTCAGTCCTCCGCCCATCAGGCAGTAGCAGATACGGCATCGAGCACTTGACGTGGATCTCGCCTTCCTCTAATACGCCCAGGGGATCTTCAAGCAGTTATCAATGACGGTCAGTCATAGGGCACGATGCCAACGCACCAGGAACACAGAACGCCGAGCAGCTCATGGGAACTGACAGGCGAAACTTGATGCTAAAAGACCTGATGGTCTTCTTCACGACTTCGTGCAACTTCTGCGCCATGATGGGGTTGGTGCGAGGGTTGAATCCTCCGTCGATGAATGTCATGACAGTCTCTTCGAGCGACGACGGGCAGCCAGAGACTTCATCGGGAAACCTGCAGCGCTCAATCAGTCATGGGCGTTCAAGTTACGGCGCGAGCAAATTTCCCACCAAGCGGTAGAGCGCTGCTGCCGAGCGCCGAGATCACCGTCATCATCATCTTCGTCGTCGCTTTCTTCTTCCTCACGGTCGTACGCGCGGAGTCCCCGAACGCGGGCGGTCCCGGGATTCTCACGAGCATCGCGGGCGGCTAGAACATGCCCGGAGCGCTCAACCGCGACCCATAGCAAGCGCATCGCCCTGTCCATTGCGTCGCTTGGCTCGCCAGTCCATGGGACACTGTGCCACGCAAGGAGATCGTCGATGGCCTCCTTGAGCTGATTCGTCATGATGTTCATGATCACGTCTGGCGGCACTTTGTTCTCCGCGAGATTGGTGAGCTACGAAAGTCAGCACGTACAAGATCTAGTACAAGCGTGCAACTCACCATCTCTCGAGATAACTTCACACCGCACTTCATATGAGAGGCACGCAAGACATCGATGGTGAGATGGGCGGGATCCTCTAAGGGGAAGTCGACGGGAAACTTGATCTTGATTTGGGATGGGCGCAGGTGAACTATGGGCTCATCACTGTCTCGACGATGGGGATCTAGGAGCAGAAGACCCTGAAGTACGAAGGTTAAATTTGAAGTGAACAATACCATTCAGGCGCACCTTTGCGCCCAGGATCCGGATCTGGATGGCGGTCGGCATCTTGTCCCAAAATCCGAGGTTATAGAGCGCCTTTGCTCCTCCGAGGGTGATCAAACCGCAACCATCCGTCTAGAGAACGGTCCGAGGGGTTAGTGAATACCGTGCAATCGTAAGTGTTACACGTACCATCTCCATCTCGGTCGGGACCTTTCCTCCCGTATAAGCCGACGAGATGACTTCATCTAGATAGCGGATCTGACTTGGCAGCAGGCGGATACCCGGTATGGAGTTTGAGGTCCCCAAAGCCATGCGAGCGTTGTATTTCGCGAGTGTCTGCTCAGCTTTATTAGTTATCCACGTAGAACGACATCAAGACGGCCCGCACCTGATTGGTGTTGCTTCGAATGGGATTGTGCCACATGATAAAGTCGTATAAAGACACGAAGCGCTTCGCATCGCGGGGATCGAGAGGGGTAGGTATAGTCTCGTTCGTGGCCACGTAGAAGGCAGTATGCTCCTTGTTGGCATACACGAAACGATACACGCGGCCCCAAATGGTCAGAGGCTCGCGTAGAAACGCGTACGCCTTGTCCAACCGGTCTCTGGTCCTGTCCCCATAGACGTCGCGATGGATACGCATCCTTATCATAGAGTCCGAGCCCCATCGCCGGGTGAACCGAGAGCTCGCGCCGACCTCAGCATCACAAAGCTCAAAGTCCAGGCACTTGTGCTCGAAGTTCCAGCAGAGTTTGGCAGAAAAGCTCACTTGGCCGCCGTACCACTGCATGCCGGAAGAGTCGGAAGTAGCACCACCAAGGCAGCCATATGGATCTCGCTTCAATGCTTCACGTTCGCGGTCAAGTTCTCGGTGGGGCGCTTTACTGTGTCGTGGAGCGAAATCAGCAATAGGGAGCAAATGCGATGAAAGATTACGAACGCGGAGAGTTCCTTCTCTCGTCCCCGTAGTCGAAGTGTATCCGCCTCTCCGTTGATTACAAGATCGCGAACGTGCGGTCCTATGGCTTCATGTGTCCCTAGCAGGAGAGGCAGCCTCTTCAAGATGTCCGCAGTCGTGACCTTGTCCTCGGAAAGATAGAGTTGCGCTAGCGTGTACTGGATGCCGAACCCCAGGCGTCGCACACTGATCAGCGCTGTGCGCGTCAAGTCTTTCTATCATGAGGTTAGCATTGAGTTCAAGTGCGTTGAATATAGCACGTACCCCGATATTGATGTTGTCTGTTGGTGAAGCCCAGGCTCCGCGGGGTCGCGCGGATGCTTCCGTCGCCGCGGCAGCCTTCACAGGCGAGTCAGAACTCGTGCGCGGCCGTTTCGGGGTCGGCTGTTCGAGTGGCGGCGTGATGTCACGCTCCTTGCGTTTAGACGTTGATGAGCTTGGACCATTGTTGCTGCCGGACGCGGTAGGCGCTGAGGTTTCGCTGCTCTGGGTCGTAGCTGTCTGTGTCGTCTCGTAGGATGTGTCGGCGTCCCTGATCAGATTGAGATCTTCCCATTCGCTGTAGGATGTGCTGGCGGTGCTATGTTGGGATGCAAGAGGTTCAGGCATGGGGCGCGGAGGATACAGAGCACAAGCAAGGTGCTACCGCTTATACGCGACGCGCCCAGCGCGCAAGTCACGAGAATTCGAAGGTCAGAAGCAAACCGCGCGAGTTCACCCGAGGCAACCCATTGATGCTTTCTCACTGTCGTTCTCAGCGAACACCGATGAAGTGAAGCTCGAAGGCGCCGTAAACCATCGCGCGAGTGCTGGCACAGCCTCCTACCCGAGCTTCTTACTTTCCAAGTACAACTCAGAAAGTGCTACGCCGCAGGTTGGCAGCTCGATGTGTTGAACGTCGATGAATGTCGAACAGATATGGACTACTGGCTTGATGCTCTTGAACGCAGACTCGGCGCCTCCACGAGCTCCTTTTCCGGCACTGTACTATCGCCGGCGGCGTTGGGTGCTTGGGGCGCAGACATCGAACTTCTCAATCAGCTGATGCGTACTGGCCGTATAAGGCGCAACCAATCCACTCCTATCGCTGCCCTTCCTCCGAGATTCTTATCCAAGGCTTCGAACTTCCAGCTAGGAAAGGGATGCATGCATACCAGCTACGAGTCCAAAGGCTGGGCCTTGACAGCAGTATCACGCGTTTGCACTATCTGGGAACATGATGCGGTTCGTGCGCCCAGCTTACGGACATATCTGAGTCCAAGAGGAAAGATCTCACCTTGGGTCGTGGCACTGTCGTGGCTGTATTGAGATCTTGCGACAGCGCCGCCATAACAGTCTACATACCCCAAAGCGCTCAGCGATTCTACGTCCGATAACGACGGGCCCTTCCTTCCACCCCTTGAGGCGTTGTCAGTGACGCACGGCGCATACATCACCCCGCGGTTGTGTATTTCGCAGCGGGTTCTTCAGCTCATCCAAGTCTTGCCTGACAGAAGCCCCTACAGTGCGGGCACCCAGAGCATCGATAGCTCTCCTAAGCTCTATAACCGCACTCACATATCTGTCCAGTAGCTGAATGTTAGCAGCATACTCAGGCCGACTTGACACATCATTTCATCAACATTCAATCCATATGCACACTAAACAATATACTGAGAAACAGAAAGGAAAGAAGAAAACCAACGAGTACAGTACTACACAAAAAAGATGAGAAAACGAGAAGGCGTCAAAAAGCGTCGTCGTCAAGCAAGACCGAGCCTGAGTACGAGTAAAAAGCAGGATACATACACTAAGCCATGATCGATGTTCGTTCGTGGTTCAGAGAAAAGAGGCTCGAGGGAAGCGGGGGTTATGTGTTATGCGTTGGGTGTAGTCGGTGAAGGAGGTGGATGAGGGAGGGAAGGAGGGAGGGAGGAAAGGTGTTCGGTGGAGAAGATGGAGGGTAGGCATAGGGGTAGGGCGTATGTACGTAGGATTAGGTGGATATGAAGGGTGTGGCGCATAGAGGAGGGTGATCACATAGACAATAAGAGACGGGGTGAAGTGGTGGTGATGATGATGACGGCGAAAGCGATGAATACAGCGACGACGAGAGTTCGGTCCGCCCGAAGGCACTTAGTACCCTTGCGTCCCATTGACAACAGCCTGATGCTGCAAACTGGGACTCTGACTGGGCCTCGGCGGACTCCCCGCACTCGCGCTCCTCGCGATGTTCACACCATTGACGCCAACGCCCATACCAACAGGCTGGCTCGCGGCCCACTGCATCTGTCGGCTCGCCGGCAACTTCAAGTTCATATTTGGCGCCATACTGGGCACGGTGTACCCGGATGACGGAACATGACCCATGTACGCCGCCGGTCTGCTGCCGACACCTGGTACGTTGAGGTTGCTAGCGGCCATGTGGGCATGCAGGGTCTGTAGGTTGGCGTTGGCGGCTTGTTGTGCGTGCACGCTCGCGGCACCGTAACCATTGACGCCTGTCAGGTGGTAGTTATTCGTGGGCATCGTGATGGCGAGGTGGTTCGCTGACGGCTTAGGCGGCGAAGCCTCCAGAGAAGCGACCGGCGCAGGGGCCATGGCGACGTCCTGTGCGGCAGCAGAGGGTGGCCGCGGTGAATGGTCACCGTTGATGGCGGGGGAGGCGCTGGGGCGGGGCGGGGAGCCCTGAGCACCGAGGGTGATGGCAGACGTATTCGGGGTGGCGGGTGGACGCATCGTGCCATTGGTGGCGGCAGACGAGATCCGTTGTACCGGCGCACCGATAGACGATGAGCTACGCCGTATAGGTGTCTGAGCAGTGACCACCGGCGGCGCAGCCTGCGGATGCGCGATAGGTACTCCGTTTGGTTGAGGAGCGCCGTTGACTTGCGGTTGCGCAGCAGCGGCGGCTTGTTGAGCCTGCAGCTGAGCTCGCTTCTGCGCTTGTGCCTGCAGGGCCGCCTGCTGGACGATTTGGCCTATGACGAAGGGAACTTCCGAGCGCCGAGTGCCGTCGTCAGACTTCCAGGTGATAGTAGGATTCGTCACCAAGGTGTCGTTGTCGTCCTTCGTGAGCAGTGTCATGGACTTGCGCATGTGCCTACGCAAGCGTGAGTATATGTTGAGGTCGAGCGACAGTGTATGAGAGACTTACGTCGCTCCATACTCATCCACTAGGACGCGATCCTGCTCATCTTGGCCGTCGGGGCCAAGAGCCGGCTCGTCATCAGCGTCAAATAGCCACTGACTACGCAGGCGCCGCGCGCGCTCAGCTCTCTCATCAGTATCGCTGAAGTCGATGGTGAACTCCTGTGGCTCTTCTCTTGGTCGAGCCAAAAAGTCTTGTTCTTCCAGAGGTTTGGTACGATGCGAGCGACGATCGAAGCGCAAGATGCCACCGCGACCACGGCGCGAGCGGGTGGCGCGATACGATGGCATCGACGCCTCCGGAGCGACACCAGGTTCTTCCATGACGAACTTGAACGCGCGCTGTCCTGTCGTTGTCGGTGGTGGCAGATAGGCATTCTGATAGGGAGGTTGAGCTACGAGTTGCAAAAATTATCGTGAAGAATAGCTTACGTCGATTGACTCCTCCCAGCTGACGTCCCTAGCCTTCTGCTTCGCAAGCTCGGAATCGATCGTTCGCTGGATCATAGCCTGGCGTTCCTTCGGCCGCATGACACTCTCCTCAGCTGCAGTAGCCGCCGCTGACATATCCTTCGGTAACTTGAGGGATATTCTGTTCCTGCAGATGGGCGATGAGTGTGATCACGATGATGAAAAACGCGCGAGACACATACTTAGACTCTGTCTGGCGCAGTTTCTTGGGGGCACGCTCTTTGTCCACAAGGAGCTCGTCGTCCTCTTTGACCCCAAGGGTCGGGAACCTGCGTTTGAGGCTAACCATCGTCTCGCGGCCTTCCCATACGGCCTTGCTGCATTGCAGGATCTCGCGCTTGAGAGCCTCGCGTTGACATAGATTCCTCGCAAGTTCATGAGCGCTTTCAAGCTCCTGCTGCAGACGCCGCAGCTTCTCTGACGATGAAGCTTGGGATGCGCGCGTCTTGCGCATCGCCTTGGCATCGCGGCGCCGAAAGCAGACGTAAGACTCGTTCTTAACATCCGACTCGTCGTACTATGAAGAGGGAACAGTCAGAAGCGATTAACGGGGATGTGAGCGTGATGAACTGACGTTCAGAACAGGGATGATGCGTTGCCCTTCGCGCTCGATACGCCGTTCCCGCCAATAGGAGTAAACGGCCTTGGCGTACCGGAGCAGTTGAGAAGATTGTGGCACCCATGTCGGAACCACAAAAGATGCGAAGGTAGCCGCGGGCAGCGGGCTAGAGAAGGTATCCTGATAGTCGGAGAAGGGCGGATAGTTCGCAGGATCCTTCACCTAGAAAGACGTATTAGTCTAATGCATTGCCATTTCGAGTGAGACGACATACGTGATGCAAGAACGGCGTCTTCTCATGCGTGACCTTCTCGAAGATGCCCATTACGAGCTCAAACTCGTCCTCAGACATGGCGACAGCCTGGGAGACATCGGGCTCTTTGCCCTTGGCTTTGGCACTACGAGAGGTACGGGAGCCAGCAGATGAGGAAGAGACGGCGCCCTGGGCGCTAGTGCCTTCGCCGCGGGCTTCTTCATTGTTGCGATCGAGCCACTCCTTGTCGCGCTCGTCCATGTAGTACGTGAAGCCATCATTGAGTGCGCCCGTGACAGCCTCCTCGATAGTCGTAGACGTCTTGACGAAGGTCGACGGGTCGATCCACCGATTAGGCGGGTAGAGCGTGTCATAGTCGTCGACGACGCCGGCATTGTCCGGGATGGGGATGAACGCCTCGGGCTGCTTCTCGGTCTTGTCCGCGGCGCCTCTTGTTGCACGCTGCACGTTCTGCTGGTGCCGAACAGATGCTGCAGTGAGCACTGCCTGCAAGTGATGTTCCTAGAATAAACAAAGGGGCATTAGTCAGCCGTTCCGCGGTATGGTTCTCACGCGCCGTGAGCCAATCGGCGCGAGCCAGCGGTGGCCGTGCAACAACGCGCGCCCCCGTCGACGACAGCGAGGGAAATGCCACTCACGTTGGCATCCTCTGCGTCCACGCCTGCGGTGGAGACGACCCTGGCCTTCTCCTCATCTTCGTCGAACGCGAGGGGGTCACCCTCGACTGGGCCCTTGATAACGCGAAGTCTGGTCTTGTTTGTGACGCGATTGCGGTTGCGAAAAGTCGCGGGTCCAGAGGCGTGGTTGCGGGGCATATCATGGAGGAGGGGAGGGGAAATGCGATATTCGACGTCGGGGGCCTCCGCGGTGCGAACTGTACTCGGGCGGCTCAAGGCGTCGGCAGGGCGGGGGCGAAGGCGGAAAACGAACTCAAAGTCCCGCGACGCAACACGCGCCAATCATTTCCTTGTGGCCCGGCTCGCTCCGGCCCGAGACCCCTCTCCACCCTTTCGCCTCGCTCTTACGCTCTCGCTTAAATCTACTATTTCTACTCTCTTACGGTCTTGCAAAATCGTTTCTATGTACGAGTGAGCGTCCGTGGGAAGGTAGCCGGCGGGAGGACGCACGTATTCAGTTTCGGACTACGTAGCCTACCTTCCAGACCCGGATCAGCACCGTTCTCGAAGCGTGCAAGAGATTGCCCGACATACCTACACTGGGCAACAGTCAGCATGGACAGATAAGACTAGTGGCGCGTTCTTACAATGCTACTATACAGGTCGAAAAACGCCCGGCTTATCACCTGTCCGTACGTACGAAGATTGATGCTAGATAATCGCGTCTGAAGACGTCGAAGGACGTTCTATCGCCTGGTTGCCATTGAACTTTGCGTCTCTGAAGAGCGAGTTGAGCGATCAACCTGTTGCATGTGTTGCGAGTAAAGTTACCTACAAGACTGACATGCATTGCTGCGGAGATCATGGGCACGCCAAGCGGCGGCGTGCGCACACCGAGTAGGCAGGTGGCAGGCCGCTCGTCAAGGGTATGGTCGACGCAGAGCAGTCCACGGGTGGTATACTTGGAGGTTCGAGCATGCTTGAGGACTACAGGGTGGACATAACGCCGCACGCCGTGATGAGGAGCGGCCAGTCTATGATGACGGTCAGCACTGTCGCATCGGGAGGGGAGGGATCTTGGCAGATGATAAAGCCAGGTTAAGAGAGAAGACTATGCGATAGAGAAAGGCAGAGATGTGGATGAAATTTGCCAGGGTGCAGGGGACGGGTGGGGTCCACGAGGCCCGGTCGACCGTCGATGGTCGATATAGAATTGCAGTCACGAGAAAGAAGAGTCGCTTTGGCAAATGAAGCAACAGAAGGTGGGGTTTACGAGCGACGGAAAAAAGGTACATGTATAGGTAAGCCGAGGCTGCTGACTGGGGGCTTGGAGCTTACGCCGATTAGGCAAGGGAAGGAGAGGGACTGCAGGTGCGATTTGGGAGATAGTAAAAGACTCACGAAAAAGTCAGCGACGTATGCGAGCATCTTCATCGTATAATGGTAGGGCTCTGGCTTTCGTGATTGACTTCAGGCCACCCTGCTACTCGCTACTCGCTCCTTCACAAGCCGAAAAGCTGCAGAATAAAGAATCAGCGTCCAAAGACTCATTCCGGGCGATCAACCCATCGTAGCAGTGCTCACCATACACAAAAGTACCATATGCGCTCGGTCCAACCGTTTTCAAACATTTTCAGGGTGGTCGACGTCGAGGCTGGATGGGGAGACAAGAAGAGGGCGGCGCGCCGCACGGGCGCGTGAGGCGCTCGGCTGTTTCCGGTCTATACAGCTTGATCTCATCTTGCCTGCATTCTGCCACGATCCCCATGCGCTCACCTCCGAGCCGCCCGACTTCTTCATCAACCTCCAATGCCATACAATCATACGCATATTCCGAATGCCCGAGCAGAGCGTCGTCGTGCAGTCGATCGCCATCTGTCTCAGAATCACACAAGGCTCGACAATTGGGGCGGCCCAATCATGTCAATGACGCTTGCAGCTGCCCACGCCGCTGGTCATACGGCCCGCCAGTAGCTTCTGCTCATCCCAGCATGTAGCCGATCGAAGCTACCGGCAGAATCGGTATGCAGGTCCGCCGAAGTTGCTTCGCTCCACCACCGTTGCGCGCGCCCATACAAGTGTTGTTGGCCACTGTACAGTGCTCCTGTTCGGAAGTTCGTGCCGCCTGCTTCGTCGGCTGTCGCTTGCTCGACAGGCGACAGTTCATTTCGGGGCTGCCTCATATATAATCAGGGCCTTCTCGTCCTCTGCTTGGTACTGTGAACCCATCCCTCGCGATGCACACCATCGCCCGCTCGCGCGTCCTTGCGAGACGCGTCGCGTCGAAGGCAAGACTCGCCCATAACCTCTCAATCACTCAAGGACCCACACATCCACCCCTCGACACCCGGACTCTACCCGACTACTGGGACGCCACGATTGCATCGCACGGACACCGTCCAGCCCTGATATGTCCCCGTGAACCTGCGCACCCCCACGGCGGCCCTTTACAACCTAGTGTTGATACCAAACACTTGGATTGGTCTTACGGCATCTTCGACGAGCATATACGTGCGCTTGCGGCTGGACTTGTGGCGCTCGGGGTCAAGAAGGGAGATCGCGTTGGTGTCGTGATGGGGAACAACAGGTTGGCGCCACAGCTCGGTCGCGGTGAACGTGATGCTGACTCTGGCTTGGGATAGCGCGTACGCGACACTTCAATGGGCAACGGCGAGCATAGGCGCCATCTTGGTGACATTTAACCCTGCGTATCGCGCTCATGAGCTGGTAAAGCCCTGTACAGCCATATGCGTACCGCTTGACTAACCGACTACGCCCGCTAGGTTCACACACTTCGCCAAGTTGGCGTCTCGCACCTCTTCGTCGTCCCAAACCTTCGCAGGTCATCTTACTTGCACATGCTACACGAAGCTCTACCTGGTCTGCGCGGTGCTCAGCCGGGGAGTATCGCGATAGAGGAGCTGCCGGCGCTGAGGTCTATCACAGCCGTCGACAACACACGTGATCCGGGGCTGTTTGCTAGCGCGATGGATAAGGCACCTGCGGTCACCGACTATCGCGACATCTCCATATGGACTGCGGGGTCCAGAGAGTCCAAGGTTGTCGAGGAAACACGGGGGACGCTACACAAGGACGATGTTGTCAACTTGCAGTTCACGAGGCGAGTTCCATCGACACACCCCTGTGCTGGGTACTGGCTGACATGAAGGTGTAGTGGTACCACGGGGCTCCCGAAAGCCGTCTCCGTATGCCTCATCCATCATGACCCTTCCTTTGAGTCGCTGACGGAGACCATCCCAGCTAACACACTCAAACCTCCTCAACAATGGCCTTTCAATATCAGATGCCATGCGACTGACAGAGGAAGACGTGGTGTGCAATGCCCCGCCGCTCTTCCACTGTTTTGATGAGTGCATTCGTTCGGACACATTCACAACCGTCTGACGCGGACAATACGCCTTGTCCTAGGAAACCTCGCAGCCTGGTCTCGCGGAGCTTGCATCGTCTACCCAGACGAAGTCTTCTCTCCGCCGGCCATCGTCGATGCAGTGCAGAACCACCGATGCACCGTACTTCACGGCGTACCGGCGCACTTCAACAGCATCCTAGCAGAGGCCGAGAAGCGTCAGGAGACCGGCGAGAGATGTGACTTCTCAAGTTTGAGGTGCTGCCCCCTCTGAAGGTGATCAATGGACAACATGTTGACTTTGCTCGCAGGACAGGCATTGCGGCCGGCTCGCCGGTTCCGATCGAACTCATGCGTAAGCTCATTGATACCATGAATCTTCGCGATCTCACTATTGCGTACGGGATGAGTACGTCGCTATCATCTCTACCGTCGTATTCTATGACTGACGTGTCGTTGCTAGCTGAAACCAGGTATGCCGCCCCAGCATCTTTCGCCACGTACCTGTCCGTTTACGCATAACAGTCCGGTGTCTTTCCAGACTACACCAGACGACAGCCTGATAGCCCGTACTGAGACGGTCGGACGTGCACGTCCTCATGTCCGTGCGAAGATCGTCGACGAGGACGGGCACATTGTACCCGTTGGTACGCGCGGTGAACTCTGTACGGCGGGATATCTCCTGCAGAAGGGCTACTGGGAGGATCCAGAACAGACCTCGCATGTGATGCGGCGCGATGCGGAGGGTACTCTCTGGATGCATACCGGCGACGAAGCAGTACTGGATGAAGAGGGGTATCTACGCAGTAAGTTCCGATCACCTGCATCTACTCCGTCTCTCACAGTGTGATTCTGCTTGCAGTTGTCGGTCGCATCAAGGATTTGATCATCCGCGGTGGCGAGAACTTGTCGCCAGTCGCGATCGAGAACGCACTTTGCACGTCACACTCCATTGTAGAGGCTGCGGCCATCTCAGTACCGGATGATGTGCTTGGAGAGGTGGTCGGCGCTTGGATCGTCTTGCATCCCGGTTCCCCAGTACCGACGAAGGCAGAGATCGCCAATCTCGTACGAACGCAGATGAATCCACAGGTATGAGATCATCCCCTGAGCTGGTACACTACAAACTTAATGTCTCCCTGCAGAATATCCCGGCTTGGATATGGTTCACGGCCACGGATGGGCCATCGGAGTTGCCGAGGACGGCGAGCGGTAAAGTGCAGAAGCATATTCTCCGCGCGTGGAGTCGCGATCTTGCTGCGAAGGGCGTGGGTCGCGTGACGTAGCATTCCGTAGTCGTATATCGTACAAGTGTAATATGGGACAGAAACAATCTATTGGACACAGGAGGCATCAGCGCGAAGTCGTGGACAGGGAATGCTTTGGAAAGCCCAGG